CCTCAGCAGGAAAACTGCTGAACGAGTCACTTGGAGCATGAACTCTACAGCCCAGAAGCGGCAGCAACAAATCACCTCCTCCCCAAGTAATGCATGCCTATTGCAGGGTTACAGGAGGGAACAGGGATTAAAGTAAAGACTATAGATCAGAACTGAACTTCTCAGGGAAGCAACAAAGCTTCACGGTGCTTGATCTGGCAGAGCATTCCCAGTTCACCTCAGCTCCAGCTAGCGCAACAAACAAATGAATCATTCTACAGAGATGCCCCCATGTCAGCCAGGGAGGTCACTGCAGAAGCACCCAAGGGAACTGCTGTTTCGTTCTGATGGATGCCCACACTGGAAGATGTTCATCCCAGCAGCTTCTAGTACTCTAGAAGCTCCATCTGTGTCTACTACAGCACCAAGCACGTGGACTAAGACTGTTAAACAGAGTACCCCCTAGGCAGGGCTGGGAAGGATTTAAGGGGGAAAAAAAAAAATTAAACTCTAACCCTACTATAGCCATACCCTGTCACAGAAGTATTGCTAGTCAAGACCGTTGTCACTGCTTACAAAAAGGCTGAGCTCCTGTATGCCCTAGAGGCATAAGACCAAAGGCATGAAAACAGCTATTTTAGCCATGGGGAAACTGAGGCACAGAGGAATCAATAGAACAGGCCATAACAAGTCCCAGGGAGTCTGCGATTCCCATCCAAACTCAACTCTTAGTTCCTGCCCAACTACTGACCCATGCCACCTGACCTTTTAGAGAACTTTGCGCTCGCATTCAAGGTTCTAAAAATACGCTTGCACCAAGGTGTAAACAACCTTAAGAGACATCCTGGCTCACTCAGCTGAATCTGGGCTAGGCCCAGCTGTCGTGCTGGCCTGGTATCAGCCCCATATCAGCAGAAACCATGCTGTGGAACAAACAAATGGATGGGTAAGGCTCATTGCAAGGCCACAAGTTACAGAGTGCCAATCACAGGTAACTGCATAGACAGATGTGCCTCGACTAGAGGAGATTGCTATAATTTCTACTCCCTGCCCGGTGAGGTCACAGCTCAGATCCTGCATGGCTCACTCACTCTCTCTGGGTGTTGCTGCAAAAACAACGCTGGCAGCAAACAAGCAGCTAAAGATCTGGTTTGGCAACGTAACTGGGGCAGCCGGTGCACATTCCGGAGTTCCACTGCACACCGGGCACTGCAGACCCTGCTGTCTCTGGGACAGGCAAGGCCTTGCAGGGATCACAGCTCTCAGCTCACACTGGAGCATGGAATCTGTGGCTCTGCTACAAGAGGCTCCTACCTGCTCTATGCAAAAAAAAAGTGGCTAGCCCTGGGCCTCTAGGCAAGTTGCCAAGACAGCCCCTAGGCTGGACAAAGCTTGGGCTGCCCTTCAATTGTGGAGCATGAAGTAGCCCCACTTCTACCTACTACCTCAGATCAGCTGCAGGATGCGAGATGGGTGGGGGATGAGGCAGGGAGCTGCTCTGTAGAGTCTTTCCAACCACATCTGCTGCGACTGGAAACAGGCTGTCCACTCCCCTATTACTACAGCCCTGCTGGATCACCAAAATAACCACTAGCTTTTATAGGAGCTACAGATGTTCTTGACAGTCTGTGGTTCCCCTTGCAGGAAGGAGGCACCCAGGGGAACCACACAGGACAGTTTCCCCAATCATATTGTAGCCAAACATGCAGTGCTTAGACTAAAATAGGCCTCAAGGTAACCAGGAGCTGACATCATTTGATAGAAGGGAAACAAGCAGGCCTTGAAATTATTTACAGCTTTCACGGAAGCTCCCTCTATTCCCTGCTTTTTCCCCCATGCTTATTTCTCTACTCTTAAGACCTCCATGAGGTTGTTCCAGCATCTCTCACTGGCACACACCTCCTGCTTCTTTCAGTCTCACTCCCTGCTGGCAAGAGCACCTTCTCCTATATGGCTCCTGCCATCTGGAGACACATGCAGGAGTCTCAGCTCCAGGAAAAAGGAGGTAGTAGGCAGAAATCCAGAGCAAAAACTTCTCCAACTGAACCAGCAGCACCAATAAGTCAAGTGAGAGCTAACTCCAGACCCCCTAATGGCTTTCCTCAGCATTTCCAGCACATCCAATTTTCATGGACACTGCACAGGGATTCTATTCACTGCCAATGGGCACTTGATCAGGGCACTTCAGTATTAGGCAAGAACTCCCTACAGAAAGGCCTCCATTAGAGAGCTGCACCCCAGCTTTGCTCAACAGAATCAATCATGGATTAAAACACAGGTCTAGGGGGTCACATGACCTGGGGTCTATTTCTGGTCCTGTGAATTACTCAGAATCAAAAACGGGGTCAGTTTACATAGCTAGAAACGAGAACACTACCTGGCCAGGGTATTGTGCAGTTTAATCCACTAATGCTTTGGGGGGG